TTTAACGGGTGGGACGGAAAACGCGGATCCGTATACACAATTTGCGTGGCCGTAAAATAACCTTGGAGGGTGGAATTCGAAGAAGTGAAGGCAGAAACTCCGCTGTTGTGGCAAAATACGGTTGATGCATAAAAGTATGACGAAACCCCAGTCCATTGTTTCCCAACTGTTAACGCGTTTTGACTAAGAGTCTTCGGTCTTGATAAAGACTAGACAATCTCGCCACAACGTCACTCAGTAATAAGCAGTAATTGTATATACTATAGAATTGTGTCCATTATTAAATGTTATTGAAATAATTTATCAGTGTTATCAAGGTAACATGAAAACTTTCGTTCATACAAATAGATACGATGCGGCCATTTTAATGAAATATGTAGGGTTTTTAAACTGTCCTGCCATAATAAAAGGGGGATGGGTGTTAACGCGTGATCAGGTCTGTCATTGATCCCAGCGTTAATACGTGACAAGGTGTATTGGTCGTCTGCCCAACAGCGCGAGTCTCCCCCCCCCCCCGTGCTAAATATCCACACCCGCAAGCGAATATTGAAATAAACTTGGGTCTATATACTTGCGTGGAGTGGATAGTACGCCTCGATAACATCAAAGTTACACAAGGAACTCCAAACTTAAATTCAATTTAATAATTAATTGAAGGGTGAGGGCTTTTTGTCTACGCCAAAGGTGTATTAATTAGTATACGTCATACATCTGCATATCGTAATGTTCCACGCCCTGGGGACTTTCTTCGTCGTCTGATTAATTATTAAAATAAGAAATAGGTGGCTATTTCACTTAGTAATTTACCTCGTTAGAGTCACTGACGTGCTTTTCACCACTATTACAACTAGGGACTATATTCGCCATACCGTAAGTAAAGATAAAATGATTTCATTTTGTTACAGTTTAGATAAAATCTTAAAAAACGACCATCTTTGTTTTAAGGCTGAAACAGGGACTAATTTCATTTATCTTCTTCTTACTTTCTAATTATTAAATTAAGATGTGCCATCCTTCGCTTCAGTTTTAAATCTGATTGAAAATTCATTGAATTTCATAGATTTGGCAAAGGGTGCGGCTTTGGCATATTGTGATTAGTACTGTTAAAAATCAAAACTGTTTATTCTAATTATATATCCACGGTCGTCGTTAAACTTAATTTCACCGTTATAATGTGGTCTTTATCTGAGAGGTTTGTTACCCAATATTAGTATTTGAGCGACCGATTAGATATAATCAGCCAAAGCTGGCGTTTCGTTTTAAAAAAAACCCATGTGTTTTCTTCGGGTCTTCCGATTTCCTCCCGCTATTAAAGACCCCTATGCGCCAGCGAATTCTTGAAAGAAAATTGTACCATATGTTAGTCCCGACAGTGCATATTTAAAATAATACATCAAAGAGAGTCATTATTCATAAGTTTAGTGTTTTATTGTAATATCTTTTATTGATACGCAGTGGTGTTCTATACGGAGATGTGAATCAAGACGATATGAATATTTATTAGGATTTAAAATTTATGTGGTAGCTAAGACAGTCTACTATACAATAAACTTTAATACGCGTCGTAAACTTCTTCAATGAATTTTGTGATCGGAGAGTATTTCTAATTAATGTCTTACACTTGAGATAGTGTTTAATGGACTGCATATAAGTGTTTGGAAGAAAGTGCTAGTTCTTAAAATGAAGGGCTTGGGTATGGAATATCTTTTTATTTAATGTATTGTTAGGGAAAATGGTGTACATAATAGTAAACAAATTACTTTTGACTTTGTTTGGAATTACAACCGTTCACGCGACAGTCAATAACCATTAATACCGTGGCTTATGTAGACTACGTACAGGTAACGTAAATGTTTATCAGAACTAATGCTGTTGAATTTTACTTGTTCGTAGTCATATTTTGGATTAGATTGCTAACGTTTGCGTTCTTTGGTCGTGCAAAGGGGATATTTTAGATTATTTGTCTAACATTTTTTTGTGGATAAGGATTACAAGACTTTGCATTATTTTGGATATTTGCTACTCAGAAGTTAGTCAACTTCTCAAAGTGGTATTAACTGTTGTAGTGAGGGGAAACATACCCGGACTGATAGTTACATAGGTAATTTGTTGTATATGAGTATACGTAACTGAGGATTTATATTTAAATTAGAAATAAGGTAGGTGATCAATTATTTATGATTCCAAAGTTTATGCGCTTGGTGCATATTTTTTTGGAGGTTCAACACCATTCGTGTTTATTAATTAGTTATATCATCGGCTTTAAAAAGCTAGTGTAATAAAATAAAACGGGGTTTAACGTCCTACTTTTCTGCACCGACTGGCATGATGGAGACTGGCGTACGTCATTCAGTCTGCTATGAGGAAAATTTTGCCCTGACAACGGCGCTACGGTCTTCTCTTATATCAAAACCCAGCTGTCAAAGGTTCTTTTAAGTGCACGCCCATTTGTACACAGGACCCCGGTTTTTCGTGTACCATCCGAACAAATAGACAACTGTCATGCACCACTGACAAGTGGAAACCACGCCGGAAAATCAAAAGGGACCTTCTCGGCCAACTCCAGGGGCAAACCCTAGACTTTCAGGGTAGCGAGTCAGCGTCTTATACACTGAGCCACCACGGTTCCCAATTTTGAATGGAGGATATTCTTTAGCAGTGCAGTGTTAAGAAATGGTAATGAATAAGTTCGTTACTACTTCAGACTAAACTGACTAGATCATTAGAATTTTTCTGGTAGAAATCGTAGCGTTGATGAAATAAGATCTCTTGTTCGGGTTTGACATCCTCCTGTTCTGCACAAACTTGACAATGCAGAACGACCACAGTCATCCTCGGTATTCCGAGTGTTCTCATTCCGCTCTACTCCACTATACCCTGGGTTAATCCATAGGGTTTCAACGATTTCAAATTATCTTCTCTGGCCGTGATTGTAGGGGTGTGGGGTGTGGTGGGGTGGCGGAATGGCTAGCGCGTGCGCGCTTTATCATAAAGGCCCGTCACTTAGTCAACTGGCGTGGTTTCGAATCCATGGTTGTACGTGACAAGGAGTAGGGTCGTCTGTCCAACCTCGTGGTTTTTTTCCGGGTCCTCCGGTTTCCTCCCACTGCTAAAGACCCCTACGCGCAAGAGTTTACAAACTAGTCGTTTCGCCTTCGTTTTTATAAGGGTAGATAACCATTTCATGCCCATTTACTGAATGATTTATGTAAATAATGTATATATTTCTAATTCATTTATAATTAATTATATTATCAAAATCTGTGGTATGATTCGCTGATTTCAAATATGTATAACATCTATATATTTGACTTTTGTTATTATTATTACTATTCGTTCTTTGTCTGAAATGTCTCATTCTGTTATGTTTATAATTATTGAACCTATACTTGGCAATTTGATTCTCTATAACTTGTGTACGATATCACGTAGACGTGGAACTCCGGGAACGACGAACGAACGAACGAATGATTCTCAATAAAACTCTAGAAACTACAATACATGTGTGTATATATATAAACGTCCGGTCTTCATTAATATGATATTATATAATTTGTTGTTAATAATACGAATTTAGAATAATTTGGATTACTCTCATTTAGGCTAACTCCTAACCTTGTCCGATGAGATTTACTTCCCTTTGCCAACTTCCTTTGCAATTAACGATATATGGGATTGATCGATAAAAATAGCACAATCATCAACGGCGGATAACTTGAAAACGTGTCCCCTCTCCCCATAGATTAACCCAGGGGTTAGTGGAGTAGAACTGAACCCTGCACCACTGACCTCGGAAAACTACCCTAGAATATCCCGAGGAACTTTCGGCGTTATTCCCCCTTGTCAGTAGTGCAGGACGGAGGGCATGGCAAGGATGTGTCTATTCGTTTGGATGATCTAAAAAATGTACTCATTAGCGTGTACGTAAATGAACCCTTGACAGTTGGAAGTCGATATAAAAACAGATCCCCCCATAGCCCAGTCAATGCAGGTTAGTTGGACGTTAAACCCCATATAATTTCATTTCTGAGGCGACTGTATATGTAACCACAGAGAAGAGTGGTTACTACCAAATCTCTCCCTTTGACAACATCACAAACAGCAGGAATGTAAATCAACCAGTGACGTCAAGAGAGGGGTTGTAATTGTAATGATACTTCTAGGATTGCTAAGATCAATATTGTCTTTAAAAAGACACCATTTAAAATCATTCCCCGCATACCCCAAACTATTGTCACGTGATTTGTTAATTATTTAACCCGTAATATAAACGTGTTACCGCACCTATTTATATTAGTTCAGATTTACGCTAGGTGTGTAAAAATTCTCCCGGGTTCATTTCCACATAAATGCTCTTAATTAGATTAAAATCACGAATTTGATTTATTTGTACAATATTTTATTACATACAAATAACTAAATAAACGAAAAAATTTCAGCACGAATTGACCCTTGCTTAATCTTAGACATTAGATTTCCATCTAAACGTCGATTTCTCTTAAACGTCAAGCTGTTCCGACTTTCAATACCGCTGGGTTGTATTTAAATACCTACATCATGACGAAGCTAGTTTGTAACCAAGAATCCGGGTTAAACACTTCATAGATGATCACAAGAACGGGATTTATTTATTTACACAATCAAAAACAACCGTGATGAATAGTACATCATATTAACACGTGTGTCAACTGAGAGACAAAATGGCAAATTTTAAGTGAAAATCTAATGCAGCTGGTATTGTCTGGGGACGGTTTTATTTTTTTAAAATACAATGCATATTATTTCAGTGATAACTTTGGAATATCACTTTTGAACATTACTCTATTATTAATGTGATTCTGTTTATTATTAAAGTAATGAGTTTGGGTTATTCCTGTATTACTTGTGATTTTATATATTTGAGTTACACATTTGGAATATAACTGTATTGTGATTTTATATATTTGAGTCATACATGTGGAATATTACTGTATTACAGCTGTCTTAATTGTATATTTTAGTCATGACGTTGCTGGTAATACAACTGCTCAGCCTGACAGTGGCAATAGGAGTTCTAGATGGTAAGCATCTTTCCTATTTAATTTCACTCATTATCACATTTATCGCACACTAAGCGATTTCTTCCATCGGTCAAATATCTGACGTATTTTTTAGAATAAAAAGGGAATCAAACCAGTTACCGCCATTTTGAGAGATTAAAAAGTAATTTTTGATAAATCTCATCTCATGTGTATACAGTATTGGTCTCTTCGAATCCTGGGGGGTTGAGTGTCCGAATGGTTAGCACGCGCCCGCTGTATCATAAGGCCTGTCATTGAGTCAACTGGCATGGTTTCGAATCCCCGGTTGTATGTGACAAGGAGTAGGGTCGCCTGTCCAACCTCGTGGGTTTTCTCCGGGTCCTCCGGTTTCCTCCCAGTGCTAAAGACCCCTGCGCGCACGCGAATTATTGAAATAAAATTAATACCATATGTTAGTCCCGAAATGACCTAGTTTGTGTCGAGTGGACGTTAAACCCCATTTCTCTCTCTTCGAATCTTTTGAGTTCACCTCTTGGATGACGTAAAGACATGGTCAGATGGAATATTTACTAGTTTAACCCCATATCCCAACGAAAGTATTTTATGTTAACGGGACATACGGTACCGCTGGTCCAGCAAAATATACTGCACGAATAATATGAAAATTTTTCTTTTGTTTCACAGCAATTCCTCGCCATTATTCCTACCAGTTTCTGTTAAATGCTAATAACATGGAAGGATTTGTTGATGCAGCTAACGCTGAAGATAATGATTACGTTCACATTTTAAAAGTCGAAAGAAGTGAGTCTGGTGAGCTCGAGGGTGAGAAAGAGCACATAATTCTAGAAATATCTACCACGCAGGTAAGATTTTGCACTCCTGGAAGAAAACAAAATGCATTAATTAGCATTCGCTTTTTTGGGTCGTGCAAGTTATCCCCCTTTATGGCGTTACAAAATGCGTTTCGTACAATTCAACCCCATACATTATAATCATGTTTTGAAAGATGAGAGGTCGAATTCAAAGATGACCAAAAATTAGCAGAAATACATTTAATGCTAATCCGGATACAGGCGCACCCAAATGAAACACTTTCTATTAGTTATTAAATGTTGTATTCAACTCTTTCCACAGCGGGAACACAGAATGGTCTAGGCACATTTCATTCAAATACTTTACACCAACGTCTATTGTACCGAAATATATTAGATCATAGCTATTTATATGTCCAAATATTATTACTAGAAAGTATAGGGTGGCTGAAATCGTACTTTAATTAAATTCATTCTCCTCTGATGAACGACAAAAGAAACACCACGCGTTTTACGAGAGTTGAGAATTATGGGCCCAATTGTATTATAATGCAAATATTAAACAGATATAAATACAGAGAAACTCGTGGTTTTGATCCAATACTCGGAAATTCATACAAGTGTGTGACGTAATGGGACACCCAATTTCACATCTTTGAGGTCATCATGGGATACACTTCCACTGGTTTTGCTTCACAAGACCAATCTGTTGAGTGTCTAAACACTTGTCAGATTATACATGATGAGAAGGCTGGAACATGCTAACCATTCGGCCATCCATCCATTGTTTTATGGGGCAACAATCACTGATATATTATACAAAAACACAATGTTTTGATAAATATCCACTTATTGTTATCAATCACAATGACATTTAGTAAACTGGAAGGTCTATCGATTAATTAGTTAACGGGTTCGTTAAATAAAGCTATTTCACACACATACTAAACGTCATTGTGCTTGATAACGATAAGAGGATAGTTATCGAAACGTCGTGTGTGTGTAAAATAAACCAATGATTGTTGTCCCATATAACGGTGTCAGTTTCCTATTTCATCCATTCATTCATTTCGACAGAAGGCAATATAGGGCTTTTTACCCAATACTACTTAATACCACCAAATACTAATTAAATACTATTAAATACCACCACATACCCCCCCCCCCCTCCCCATTAATGTGAATAAATAACATAATGGCTGAATTTTACAAAAGAAATGGAGATAACTCTTTGCCGAATCTTTTGTCGCCCAATATGAAAACATTTAAAATAAACTTTTAGTATCAAGTTAATAAGAAGAGTACGAATATAAATTTACTCAAATTACCGCATACGAAATTCATTATGTATTTTAAATAGAAAAATATTAACATTAAACATACATTAAGCAAGAGCTAAATCTGCCAATTGCAGGTCTTTGTTTAGGCCTGAAATGTTATCTAAATTATTAATTAGACATTAATTAACTTATCCAGACCATAATCAACTCTCAATGGCATCGCTAGCCTGCGATATTTAACTGGATTATGATCCCATTTGCTGCTCGACTTCCATTCATAATTTAATCATGAAATGGATGACCGATACTATGTTTTTTTGTTGTACAGACTTTAGTAATGATGATCGAGGCTAGGCCGAAAATTGAATCGCTTATTTCTCGGTTCATAGTGTATCAGATTGCCTTCACATTATCTAGCTTTTAACTATTATAGTGAGAACTGTCAGCTCTTTATCTTATCTCTCATAATGTATCTTTAATTATTCACAATCGAGAATCGTTGAAACTGGAATATTCAAAATAACCAAAGAATGATTTGAGCAAAACTAAACTGAACGATAGAGCAGATATAATAAAAACGTATGACAGCCAAAAAAAGCAGTTTAAATCTTTCAATAATGTTCTCGTTTTTCAGTACAAAAAGGCTTACTTCCAAAGAAATAACCTAGACATCAATAACGAAAATATCAAATTTCCTGCTGAGTTTTCTGCCTCAAATACCAGTAAAAACGGATCTTTACCATCAGATATTACGATTGACGTCATCCATACCACAGCTTTCACAGTTAATTCAGATCTGACTTTAAGACTCAGTGATGATTTGGATGAACTGCGAAAAAAATCCGTTATACAATTTTATGTAAGTATATTACGTAGACCTGTCAGTTACCCTGGATTGTTCTTTATGCCTTTGCTACTTGAGCCCCGCCCTCATTTACACCTGCTGAACTGACGTGGCTCAGTGCATTATTGCGCTGGCTCACTCACCACTAGGGTTACTTGGAATTGTTCAGCCTAGTTGGCCGATGTTAGGGCTATAGAACCGAGGGTTTATCAAAACAAAAATCGAGGCCCATCAAGAGAGTCTGCATTAAGATACATGTGTTCTCGAAAGCATAAGCCACGAAACTACAAAATCTGTATTAAGCAATTATACATATGCCATATTCCATTCCTAGCGATTCGTCTTGCTTACAATTGATCGATATGTAAAACACAGAAATTGTATGAGTGTATAAACATTTTTGAATTGTTTTTTTTTTTAGATTGTTTTAGCTAATACGTCAAGTTCTGAAATTGTCTCGAATCCTCTGCCTTTCATGATTCACATTAAACCAAGACCAAAAGCATTACGAGAGCATGGTGCTGCTATATATGCCGGAATCATTGTGTTAATCATTGTGGCTATTGCTTTACTTGTACCTTTCACTGTCCGGGCTAAACGCCGAAGAAGAGCAGGGAAGCCCATCTGTGGGTTTGGAAGTGCTAAAAGCCCAGAAGATATTCAAAAGGAAAAACTAGCCGGTAAAGACAACGGGGCTATGATTTTTGATGATGGTAAAGGGATGTCCAGGACTAGTTCAGTGGTAACTGATACTGGTCATGAGTCCATGCAGCAGCACATGGTGCGTTCAGTATCTGACTTCCATTTTCAACCCACGTGGTTAGATCCACATTATCAGGATTCTCATCACCATCCCCATAATCATTACCACAATAACAAAACCAGTAATGGAGTCCACTCTAATAAAAATAGCAAATCAACGGAGGAGAGACTTTAATACACTGTGTAGAATTCGAAGTAAGATGACTGTTAAAGTGCTAAATTGTGTTAATAAGAATTATTTATTAAAACCTGAAATTCACCCTACCGAGGTAAACTATTACCTTTACCTTTGTAGCTAAATGGTACATTATGTATTTTGTTTTAGAACGGTATACCACGTAGATTAACGTGATGTTAATATTTATTACCTCAATTCATTAATGTAAGAATATGTGTTCTAAATTCAAAACATCCCGCATCCTTCATTCTTGCTAATATAGATATGCACAAATTATTAGTATTACGTCATTCAGTATCCAGTTATCTTCCTAACAAAGCCAGTTATGTGTAGTTCAATGGACAAGGGCGAGACATTAAGTAATATATTGATATTGCTCGAGCGCGTTATATATATATTACGCAATGTCTTGCACGAAAACATTAAACAACTAAAAATACAAACACTATCCAGCACGTGCATTTCAATGAAATACGTCACGTGGGTCCAATATTTCAACTAGTATATATAATGTACGCTTGACACATTGCTCGTACCGTTATTTGAAATACTGGTACGCCAACATCAAAGGATGACGTCACAACTGTATTTGAAGTAATCCCATGATGATGGCTTATCTTGAAATCATTTTACCATACACCCTATAGAGACCAACGGAGAACAAGATGTTCAACTTCTAATCGCAGCTCCCACTCCCTTCAGTTATACTCCAGGGATTTTCAGGCTTTCGGGTATTATTGTGTTCAAATATATCTTTTTACCAGTTACTAGTACTGAAGATTTTACTCTCTTCTTTGTTTGAATAACGATATCTGAGATTTAGTGTCATTGTGGTCAGCAAGTATGTTTTGTGGACCCTAATGTATTTTTTAGGTTGCGCAATTTGAGTCTGTATATATTTATGTAAATAGTATTTTGTATATTCTAGTATCAAAATTAAATATTTTAAAGGCATTTGGACGTTGTTTACTCTAAACAGGTTATTCATAAATTCAAAGCACGGTCAACCACGAGATGAAATGGGCTTTTCTGTCTCATCCGGGCTAATGAAGACGGGCATGCACCATGCGACGCTACAACCTACTCTTATATCAAATTCCTACTGTCTATGGTTCCTTTACATGCACGCCGACGTGTACACGACACCTTGTCCTATTCGCACGAACAGACTATGTTCTATGCCAGCCCCCCCCCCCCCCCCCGCATCACTAGCTGAGTGAAACCACCACAGAAAATCTCCAAGATCTATATCGGGCAACCATGGACCCCCATGTTAAGAGCTAGTGTCATAGTCACTGAACCACCGCGGCTCAAAGCACAGTTAGGCTTGATATGAGTGTGTTTAAATGTTATGCCAGTAAGTAAGTTTATTATACGAATGCTGATATAGACACGATGGAATATTAGGCTATTACTGATTTTTTTACCGATAAAGGTGGGTCGACATTGTGCGATAAATATCTATTTTGAAAACATCCCCATTCCTAGATGTGACCCAACATCAACAAAAATAAATAACGAATGAATTACAAAATGTGTGAAATAAAACACCCGATGAAATCAAATATTGTGTTCACGATACGATTACTAACTTATACATTATGATAAATCACACATGATACGAGATGAAATTAAATAAAATGGAGTTTACATGTCTGCACCAACCGGTATAATGAGGACGGGTTCGTTATCGAATATCAACTATCAGGGATTCTGTTATATGCTCGCCAACGAGTACGCAGTAGACCTAGGTTATTCTTACCATACAAGCGACTATATGTTTTCACTTTTATGTCCTCCGTTCTGAACAGTTGCCAAGGGGAAACCGTCTCGGCCAACGCCGGGATCAAGTCCGTGACCTTCTGGTTAGTGTGCCACCGCCGAACTTACTCAGTCGCCGATGACCCCGCGCACGATATGAAGCGATGCATATATATAATATATAATTATACATAATTTACACCAGCTTCTCAGTCAAAACGCAGATGGACGCAGCCCGCCATTTGAAGGTCTTTCCGTCTCTCTCCATATCTCACTTTCTGGTCAATCTCATATACACTTTGGAGGAAAGTCATGGACAGTTATTGCGCCGTCTGTGGTGAAAAGAATCCAGCTCAACAAAAATATGGGAAAAAGTAAGGGGCGTGCAAAGAGACCAGACTCGAAAATAAAGTAAATTGGGAAATCAATAGTGGTCTGCATCAAGATCGTAAACCGCAGTTATCTCCCTGTCTTCGTTTTAGTCTAGAAAGGAATGGTGGTGGTGGTGGTGGGGGGGGGGGTCAATGTCTAGTCGTTACACTACCTATGTGACAAATGTATGTATTTTTTTATGTAATGCGAGATATGTGAATTTTGTTAAGAAGATGGGCATTTCCTCGAGTTATTCTTCGATTTCCAAATGTGAATGGCTCTTTATGTGCACGATATGACGCCAACGTGTACACGAGTGGAAATCGGGTTTTAAGGACCATCCGAACAACTAAGCACACTCTCCTTGTCAGTCTAGTGTTTAATTGTGGTTATAAACGCGATCGGTTTTTTTATCAGAGAGTTGTTTTGATTGCGCATATTGAAGATGAATGATGTTTCATAATTTGAAGGGGGATTGGATGGCCGAATGGTTAGCACGTGCGTGCTGTATCATAATGCCTGTCATTGAGTCAACTGGCGTGGTTTCGAATCCCCGGTTGTACGTGACAGGGAGTAGGGTCGCCTGTCCAACCTCGTGGGTTTTCTCCGGGTGCTCCCACTGCTAAAAGACCCTACGCACAAGTGAATTATTGAAATAAAATTGAACCATGTGTCGAGTGGAGGTTAAACCCGATTTCTCTCTCTCTCTTTTTCATAATTTAAGATTATTTAGAAAAATGTCAATTAACACCTTTCATACATGAATTGATTAAAACATCTTTATCATATTATGACCCACAGATGGGCGACATTGACACTGGCCGGACGCGGCCAACGGCCACGTGGAAATCATTAGTTACTACCCCTGGTCCGAGTTATGATGCAATATAGCCAGCTGCATAACCTCTTCGATTATAAACAGGAATCCAAGGGAGATTATTGAGTGAAGGCGAGGGCGTCTAGGAGCACAGATCGAAGAGGGTCATATGATTAAGTTAGTTTGGAGTTGACACCCGAGGATTCCAAGCCAAGCTAGGACTATGGCTTCCTCAACACAAGCTAATTACGCAATCTTTAATTATAAGAAGTTTTGTATATGATATGTTTGAAGAACAATAAAAGTATCATATGAAGTTAAACCAGAGTTGTCATAATGGGATAGCTTCAACCAATTTTTTAAGGTATATTGATCAGGTGATATTTATCCAACAAAACTCTATCCAACGAAATTCAGTAGATACGAAGTATAGTTCGGCTGTTGTTTAAACGTATTTGACAATGGGACGCATGTTAATTAATACGATTGCAATATAAAGTTGCGTATCGCTCTATCCATTATCTTCCTGGCATTAATAATAGAAGCACTGAGGACTTCCAAAGATAAGCGTCTAGCCGTTCGGGTGGGACAAGAGAGAGAAATGGGATTTAACGTCCACTCGACACAAACTAGGTCATTTCGGGACTAACACATGGTTCAATTTTATTTCAATAATTCGCTTGCGCGTAGGGGTCTTTTAGTAGTGGGAGGAAACCAGAGGACCCGGAGAAAACCCACGAGGCTGGACAGGCGACCCGACTCCTTGACACGTACAAGCGTAGAATCGAAACCCCGCCAGTTGAATCAATGACAGGCCGTATGATACAGCGCGCACGTGCTAACCATTCGGCCATCCGACACCCCTGGGTGGGACAAGAAACCCTATGTATACCTTAGCGTCCACGTAAAGAACCCGTGACAGTTGGAATTGCTGTCTGGGTAAAATCTTCCCTCATAGCGCATTACATGTCGTATGCCCGTCTTCATTAAACCAGTTGGGACAGAAAAGTAGGATGTTAAACCTCATTCCACACATTCCCAACGGCTCTTCCCAAGTTGTGTCGGTATAAGTACTAGTTATAAAAGGCTATAAATAATTTATTCATATACAATTAATTAATTATATTAATGAGTTAATCAAAAAATACATGTTGAACATGTATAAACATATTGATACAATATATAGATACTTTACAAATAGGACATTAATATAACTACATTTAGATAAGGAACAATTATCAACATAAACTAATACTGTAAGTTCAAAAGTTCGTAATATCAGATAGAGGTATTTCGTCAAAAGTCAAAATCTCATAGGGTGTTCTTGATAATCTGAAAATATGTATGACTCACTGAAATGGTAGTCATTTATAAAGATAATGCCAAATCGTCACAGTAATCGCCTGGTACAATGTCCTTTTCAAAGGCAAAGATAAAGAAAATGTTACTTGGGTTAGGCTATAGTGTTATCAGCATGGACTGCTGATAGATACAATTTGAGAATAAACTGATTTTTTATCAATTATTGATGGAAATAACATAATTTAAAACGAGTCCACAGATGTACCGGGGTATTATATCGTCGCTCCGTTTTGCGTAGAATTCAAACGCCACTTCAGATTATTCTGCTGTATTGAACGAATTTCTTGACAAACAAAATACATTGTAAAGCACCTTTAAGTAGAGTTATCTCCCCTAAATCACACACTAAGAGGAAGTTATAATTGTCATTCTTCCTAACGCCTTTCGAGTCATTTCTTCAAATTCCTGAAAAAGACAACACAAATTCGTAAGATATTGCATGTAAAGGCGAAGTGAACTTGTCATGTAAAACATTGCTAAAACACCCGTCCACAATTCACTTGGAATTAAGCAGATTCCTTGCTAGGCTACACCACTATTTTGCAGTACACAAGGCCAAAAGCCAGTCTTGCTATATATCGATTTGTGAAATGTTGAACAATAAATCATGTTTGAACCTACCTCTATTTCGGCTAGCACTGCAGGGTTAATCTCACGCCTCGGAGAATCAGTTCTTTTACAGGCATCTGAACAGTCTAAATAACTACTGGACGTACAAGATCCATCAACATTATCTAGTCTTTTAAATGCCGTGAGATCAAATGACATGGGATTATCTCGGGGAGAGCGCGGAGAATGTTCACAACTTGATTGCTGAGATAAACACAAACTAGAGCGATTTAAATCGGAGTCGCTACTCACGCTCCAATCACAGTTTACACCAAGTCTGTCACTACTTGCGCTTCTCTCGCGGAATGATTTCGTTAAGTCCACAAAATCCGAATCCGACTGCAGGGAACTATGACTCTCGTCACTATCAAGAGAAGAATTGCTTTGCATGTTACGAGACTTCCTACGCTTGTTCCACGATGCTTTTATAAATGTCTTATGAGCAAGCTTCTGCATGCTTGACTTCAAACTATTGCTTCTGTGTACAGCACTTTTGTCCACATAATCGTCAATGCAGTCAAAACTTTTACTGGCTTGTGATTGGGCTAGTTTTGAACGCGTGTTACAGTTTCCATTTTGATCCAAATCCTTGTTTAAAAGGTGCATAGTTTGCGAGAGTTCTTTAAGCTGTTCTATCACGTAAGGATTGCGTTCCTCTGTAGATTTCTTCTTGCCAAAATTAAATAATGATTTCTTGTTACCGTTGGTGGTTAGAAGTTGCTTCTGAAGTGTATCCATCTGCAATTACGACAAAAAGTCAATGACACATGGGGATTAACGTCTACTCAACACAACTAGGTAATTTCCGGATTAACATATTACAACTTTATTTCAATATTTTACTTGTACGTAGGGGACTTTAGCCGTTTTAGGCAAACCGGAGGACCCAGAGAAAACACACGAGGTTGGGCAGACAACATTACTCCTCGTCACGTAACAGCTTAGGATCGAAATCAAGCCATTTGACTCAATAACAGACCTTACGGTCTAAACCATTCGGCCATCCAACCCTGCAAAAATGAGATAAAATAAGATAAAATAAGACATTTTAGCTTACCTTTATCTGTGTTGACATACGTCGTTGTTTTAAACGAGTCATCTGACAAATCTGTTCATCTCCATCGTGAAGTCCTCCTAATGGCTGAAGATCATTACTACTGGCCGACAGTTTCTGTAACAAATATAGAAGTAAAATAAACTGATTATGTGAAAATACATAAGAGATTATTATTCAAAGAGAGAAAGAGAAATGGGGTTTAACGTCCACTCAACACAAACTAGGTCATTTCGGGACTAACACGACATGGTACACTTTTATTTCAATAATTCGTTTGCGTGTAGTGGCCTTTAGAGGTATGTGGCGGGGAGTGGGGCGAGGACCCCGAGAAAACCCACGCGGTGGTTGGGCAGGCAACCATACACTTTAACTTAATGACAGATCTTATGATCCAAAGCCAATAAATTGGGGAAACGGCTGAATATCAGTAGGAGACGTCTACTAGTAGATTTTCATTGCCATACGAAAAACCATAATATCCTACCTTATGTCGCTCTGCTCGCTGAAGTTCCAACATCTCTTTTTGCCTTAAAACTTCTTCCAGTAATTTCTGTCTGAACATCTCAGTTTGTTCGTTATTACACAATGGGCCTGGAAGGATAAAAATACATTTTATATATATGCCCGTGTCAGTAAAATAAAAAAAACCCCAAAGCATTTTGAGTATCTTGGGGGTTAAAATAAAACAATTCGAATATATTATAGGTGTCTGAAAAAACAAAGATTTGAAAACGATACTACTTTAAAAAATTTTCGCCATCACATACAATTATAAGAAAATGGTTTTATTTCAAAACATATTCCACTTACCGTTTTCTATTACTAGTCCGCAGGCTCCACGACTGTCGCTGGCTGGATCAGATACCGATTGTAGAAACTCTAACCAAGTTTCCAGTTCTTCCAATGTCTCAGTCGAAATATAGAGAGGCAGATATTCCTAGAAATTAAACAAAATATTTGGATACTTTGTAAAATAGGTAAAATAAACTTTAAGCTTTCCTTTTATCTTATTAAGTAGTCGAGTAACCAAACTTTCATCACGAAACCTAGATTTGAAATCCAAATTACATTGACAGCGTTAGATATTCAAATGATTTGATAACAGAATAAAATGTGTCATAAATTGCGCCTTACCAACTTCCAGTCTACTTTTTAAAGAATAAAATGCAAGGACATTTTGTTTGCATATCGTCGTAACGACAATTTTTTTATTGATCATCAAACAAGGTGTCACCGGGATTAACTAATTGAATTTTATTAACATAATCTGACCCGAAAAAGCAGTGACGTCAGACTTTTGGTTGGGGGCTATATATCTGTAATGAGGTCAGTTTGAGGTTTTTGGTTAAAGGCTATGCATAAAACATGTATTTAACCCCGAAACACATTTAATCTAGTAATTTTTATCCATTAGGAAGTAGTTAGTGTATATTAATGACCCAGTAATTGAATTGCAAACACGAACTTACCTCATGCGAAAGTAAAATGACGAAACGTTTTCCACGAAATCTGTCGACAAGAGAAGAAACTGAGTAACCCTGTAGAACTATAATATCAACGGTTACACGGTCGTGCCGGGTGAAATAACAATATAATGAGCACTCCTTGAGAATAAACCAATATCTGAAATACAAAACCGTAGAAAATATTAGAATAAGCTGCTTTGAATCATGTGACCGTTTCATAAAATGAGGGGTGGCTTAGTGGGAAAGGCGCTGGCGCCGCTAAGCAGGAGGTCCTGTGTTCGTTTCCGGTGTTGGTCGAGAAAGTTCCCCGGGGTGGGGTATACCGGTGCCCCCCGATGGAGGGCAAAGAACATTAATTGTCTAGTCATTCGGATGGGACAAAACCGAGATCACGTGCGCACATTGGCGTGCACTTAAAAGATCCCTTGACAGTTGGAATTTAAAATGAGAGTAGACCGTTTCGCCACTGCCAGGGTAGAATTTTTCTTCATAGCACACTGCTGCATGACGCCTGACCGCCTTCCTTAGTGATCCAGTTGGCGCAGAAAATCAGTGCCTTAAACCCAAAATCATTTCGTCTCATACAGTAGGCCTATGGATACGGTTCAATTGCAATTATCCAAATATATGTATCCAATAGATTTCCCTTACCTTATCCACTGTCCATTAATATTTCTACGTTCCAAGTATCCCTGCAAAGTAGGATCTGTAATTTCATCAACAGGAATAGTTTTAACACACATTGGTTTGTGGATCTTGATTCCATTATGAGAACCATTCGACTCAGATTCTGAGTCACTGGACATCCTTGATAGGGTTTGGGCACTGAATGATTTCGATCTTCTTATATCAGCGGCTGAACCCTGTAATGATATAATACAATTGATAAGGTAATCGGACTAACTGAGTCGGATTTGAAGGGATTTATCCTCTACGATAAGATATCGCCATGTGTATGGTGGTACTGTTATAGTTCAATAAAACCACCGCCTTCCTTTTGGCGACATTTCCTCGAATTCAAAATTCGCAAAAAAAATCATGAATGCGAAAAATAAACCTATATGTACATATAATGTAAATAAGGGATCTATCTTTGTCATTCCAAATTTTCCGACGTGGTTTCCCCTTGTCAGTGGTGCAGAACGGAGGGCCAGACAAGGACAGCTGTCTAGTCCTTCGGATGAGACGAAAAACCGAGGTCCCGTGTATACATTGGAATACACGTAAAAGATCCCTTGGCAGTTGGAATTCGATATAAGAGTAGGCGATAGTGCCGCTGCCCAGACAAAATTTCCCTCATAGCACACTGTATGGCGTATGCCCGTCTTCATTAGCCCAGTATAGGAGCAGAACAGTAGGACGTTAAACTCCATTTCATTTCATTCCAAATTATTTGTACATAACTTCCATTTATTTGAAACCAATATAAGCTAAAATATGCAGATATATGTGCGAACATAATTTTAGATTGACAACCATGTCATTGAAACACATACATTCTAGTCTCATTTATTAGTTAAAATATTACATTTATGTCAAACGTTGAACTTTTGTCAGAACTTAACCCTCTTCAGTTCACCTTTTGACTTGCCTCTATTATAATCTGATATTTGTAAAGTGACATAATATTTCCATGTCTTATCAGCTTTGTTTTGATATTCTGGTAAAATCTTTGTTTACATAAACATACATAGATCTTCATAGATCATTTCTGTACATAGCAACCAATGTAGATGAACTGAATTTATTTTTATACACAATATATATCTGTATGCATTAATTAGTCATGTATAACTCATTAAAAGTAAAATGTGACTGCTATTTATACACCAGGAACTACATGTCATTGTCAACAAATTATAATAGTTTCTTGTTGAAATGTATTTTAACCTCAACAGAAAAGTGCACTTGTCTTACAAAACATTAATAAAAAGCATTTATACAACTACATGTATATAATTATAGCTCTGTCTAAACATAATGGTGTAAGTATTGAAAATGCATTTGGACAATAAAATAAAAGCGCATTGATTATATAATCAAAATAATTATAATTTACATGCTATTCAAAAACAGGTTTTAGATGAATTAATCTTTTAAATAAATATTTATTTGGGTTATTTTTTTCAAGTGTGTGTTAACATTTACATACATAAGAACTCCACGTATAAAAACTAAATTAACACGATATATAAAACTAAATAAACACACATATACATATCATGGCATCACCCCCACACCCCCAATCCTGCCTGTTTTGCGCGGCTTTAATTATTACACAAATAAGTATATTTGATAACATTTCATTGGATATATTTTGCTAACCTAATGACAAAGCTATTTATTTTATAGTTATCTATATTTTGACACCCAGACTATGAAATCTAAAAATAAAATGTGAAATGTAAATATTTATACACTGTCAATAGACGAAAAGGGTATTCGAAAAAAAGTAAAAACAAAATGTCAATAAAACAGTCTATAGGGGTAATTTATGATATTTATAAATATTCAACTGCTATCGAAATACATGCCACAATATTTATTTATCTTGGATTATATGACTTCTAAGATTTTTTTTAGTTTATCCAATTACTCTTAATTTACGCTTTAACTGTAAACCTTTCCTATTCCAGCAAAATCATGCATAAATAGCTTTAAGTCAAATTTCACCTACCATCTTTTGAAGCAACACAAATTGTAAATCCCACAAATATAAATATAGCCAGGCAATCAGGTGATCACAACCCTGGTTCCAGATTAAGAATGAAATCACAGTACAATAATGAACCAGAGTCAATGCTAACAATTACGTCATTTCCAGTTCTTCATAATTAATGGATAATTCCAGACGCAAATCATCCCACATGCCAATTTCATATATTTTTTGAAGAAAAAAATAGCTTAAACTAAATAAACTAAATCAAAAACTGACAGATACACTTCAAACGTCAAATCTCAGTACACGTTATATTCAGGAAGCTCCAATTTACATTCCAAATGCCAAACTAAGAATGGCTTATACAGCTATAAGCAATACACCTATATGTGCCTACCTGTTTTATCCCACTTCTGTTTCTAATATAGTATATATCCCACGTACTACGTATAATGAAATTAGTGCATACAGGTTAATTTCAATATAATAAATACAGGCACAGACACACACGTCATAATTATAAGGATCGATCAATTACGATTGGTTTTTGCACAGTTTTAGCATCAATTTTAACATGATTAATCATTTATACATATAAAAACACTAATGATTGCATTATAATAAGCTCAGTTGATAATATTTATATACCCCCGAATAGTAGCCCACGTGCATGGAATCAAATAGGGCTGGGGGATGGTCTTAACGTCCACTCGACACAAACTAGGCCATTTCGGGACTAACATAAGGTACAAATGTATTCTAACAATTCGAATGCGCGCAGTGGTCTTTAGCCATAGGAGAGAACAGAATTATTCAGAGAAAATCCACCAGCTTTGGCATATGATCCTGCCCCTTATCACGTGCAAGCTTGGGATCGAATATATACGTAGTTATAATAAATGTCTTGGGGATGGTGCGATTTAGAAATAAACTTTCAGAGGTAAATATTCTCCAGAGGCTTAAGGTTTAAAAAATGATGTCGGATATGTTTTAGCAAATACTGGTATTATTGAGCTTTCACCTGGTATACTTTATGCGTAAAAAGTAATAGATTTAAGAGACTATATGCATACTGATCATTTGTTTCAAATTCAGCTGATTAGACTAGTTCATTCGCTTCCACCGAGGATATTATCACAAACATGATGATTAGACTCTCCAAGGTCAATTTAAACGCTTGTATTTACAAGTATTTTAACAATGCAAAGAATCTAAGTGCCCACGACCATCCCTTTTTTTTAATAAAAAACCCCAACAGCACAGGCAGATGACTAGTCAGAGTAACAAATTTCAAAAACGTATCAACGAACTCGCCACTTTCAAGTGTTTACGAAATCAAATGAAATCTGTACCGCATCACATACCGCATAGTGGTTGGGATTCAATCAGTACACATTTTCCACTCGGCTAATTCTCAAATACAGCAGTGGTTCATTCAGTTTATCTTTTGATTAGTATAGTAATAAAAATTAATTCACTTATATAGGAATTAAAGTCACAGTAGGAAGCTTGAAAACAGTTCGATTAATTATATATATGATTGAATGAGCATCTATAACGCTACAATTAAACCTTTCGCTTTCTGGGTTCTGGTTAACGAAATAACCCATTTAACCCGATTAACTTTTCACCTTTGTTAAAACAGCCGCACCGGGTTCCTTTACACTAAATATTGTATTTTAAATATGATCTGGCGGGTTTATATAAGCAGGTAAAAAAAATATGAATGCCATAAAAAGAAAAGAAAGAGTGAAAGGTAAAATACTAGTTTTGTTATTATCAACACACTGTTCCAGCAACTCATGATCAATAACATAATACCATTTTAGTGAACTATTTGAAAATAATCGAAAGTAATTAGGTATTCATTTTAAAAAAGGAAATGCATCTCTTACCCACGCAGTATGTTTTTGCTTGTATATAGTAGTTATATAAATAGACTACCGTTTTAACTAGTATTTCAAATGACCACCAACGGATCAAAGTACATCAATTAAACCGAACTGAACTGCGTTGTTATTGCATTCCAGTGTTTGCCCTGTAAAAATACAGGATAGTACTTATTTAAACTTCCGGTAATTTCAAATTCAGGAGATAAATACCGCAAGGCTAAATTCTAATTTCTAACAGTTTTTGTTTACATATTCGATCAAAGACCGTGTACTTCCAGATTATCTGGTAAACTTATCTCAAATATACACACAACTTGTTTTTAAATCAAGTGTTTTCGTAGAGAGATTCTTATTCAAAATTAATTCAAAGGGATTCTTGTATCAGTATTAATCGCTGACTACTTAAAACTTGATAACATTAAACTAAAACACATGACGTTTGTTGGGTACTGTTCCCAATCATTCTGAAGATGTGGATGGTGGCAGGAGTTCATAAGACTTAATTGTGAAAAGCCAAGACTTTAATCAATTTAATTTAATTAAACCACACAGATCTAATATACATCACAGATAAATGAAACACTAAAAGTAAGAAAATCGAGAAAAATAAGATGAGGTTACCAGGTGAAATGACTTAGCAATGGGTTGAAATTATTACATATTGAAATCTAATTATAACTTCGTATTAACAAATTGTTAAAACACTAAAGTATTGTAATGTAGCAAGGCAAGCTATTACAAATTGTTAAAACACTAAAAGTACTAGAATGTACAAATGCGAGGTACTGCAAATTGTTAAAGACTGAAAGTATTAGAATGTAAAAATGCGAGACATTAAATGACGTAAGATAGATGACGTAATAAGGTGAAACGCGTATTAAAACGTCAAAAATTTACTTATTCCACAACAGAAACCATCAATCGAACTGACCTAATATATATCATAGATTATTAAAAGACATTAGAAACATTAGAAACTAACAGAAAATCCCGGGGTAGATGAAAACAACACCATGGTAAAGATATGTGCTTAATAAAACACAGTCATTGTTTCACTTACTGCTATCTAGCAAATCAAAAGGAATCAACAATAAATCCAAAGGTATTAGCTGCATGAACCTACCGGGGATAGATCTAGAATCCACTCATATTAGCCAAGCATCAGGTGTTCCGAAAATAGTAAGCATACTATATGTTAACGTATTATGTTTGTTCTCAATTTTAGTTACGATAGCATCTTCAATATCCACACTTAACAATTCATAAGACTAAATGACAGTTGTCAACAAATACCAAATGAAGAAAGAAGCCG